AGGGGAAGATCAGCGAGGCCGACAAGAAGAAGGTGCTGGACAAGTGCCAGGAGGTGATTTCCTGGCTGGACGCCAACACCTTGGCGGAGAAGGACGAGTTTGAGCACAAGAGGAAGGAGCTGGAGCAGGTGTGTAACCCCATCATCACCGGACTGTACCAGGGAGCGGGCGGTCCTGGGGCTGGTGGCTTTGGGGCTCAGGCTCCCAAAGGGGGCTCTGGGTCTGGCCCCACCATCGAGGAGGTGGATTAGAGCTCTTACCTTTTTTGCTCGAGTTTTCTTTCCAAGTCAGAGGTGATCTGAGGACCTTGCTATTGCACTAGGTTTCTTTCTATCTTTAAGTTTCTTCTATTTCAGTTTATCCTAAAGTTTTATTGTAACTTGATAGTATTTGTTATTTTATTTTTTGCGTGGTATACTACTAGTTCAGTAGAGTTCTTTACATTTAAATTAAGTTGGTACTGTAAGTTCTTTTTTTTTCTCTGTGAAATGAGTAAACACTGCCGCCCTCTGTCCAATTTTGCTATGTAAACACCAGTCGTCCTGGAATGACCTTTTTGGTTGGTTGGTTGTTTTTTTCCCCCAATTTGTATACTTGAAAAATAAAACATTAAAAATATGAGTCTATTTTTATCTGAGGCGGGATAGTGGACTCCTCTTGGAATGTCTGAATTCCACACACTGGTTAGAGGGAGAGTACTTCTGAAGAGAAGTACCCCTGTGAGGTAGCATTGCTTTGGCCATTTATTTGGGACTTCATTGTTGGTTCTAAGTGACATCTGTGCTAGAAAACAAAATTTCAGCTGCCCATTTTTGTGGATGTGCTTTTTTTAGGGGAAAGGTAGGGACAGGAGCTGCAAAAATGGTTTTGGGGAGAAGTGTGTTTAAAGGCAGTGGTGGGGGATCCCTGGGTGGCGCAGCGGTTTAGCGCCTGCCTTTGGCCCAGGGCGCGATCCTGGAGACCCAGGATCGAATCCCACGTCAGGCTCCCGGTGCATGGAGCCTGCTTCTCCCTCTGCCTATGTCTCTGCCTCTCTCTCTCATTCTGTGTGACTATCATAAATAAATAAAAATTAAAAAAAAAAAATAATAATAAAAAATAAATAAATAAATAAATAAAGGCAGTGGTGGGGCAGCCCCGGTGGCGCAGCGGTTTAGTGCCGCCTGCGGCCCAGGGTGTGATCCTGGAGACCTGGGATCCAGTCCTGCGTCGGGCTCCTCGTGTGGAGCCTGCTTCTCCCTGTGTCTCTGCCGATCTCTCTCTCTCTCTCTCTCTCTCTATGTATGTATGTACGTATGAATGAATGAATAAATAAATAAATCTTAAAAAAAAATAAAGGCAGTGGTGATGGGATGCCTGGGTGGCTCAGTGGTTGGGTAGCTGCCTTTGGCTCAGGTCGTGATTCTGGGATCCTGGAACCGGGTCCCCTGTCAGGCTCCTTGCAGGGAGCCTGCTTCTCCCTCTGCCTATGTCTCTGCCTCTCTCTGTGTGCCTCTCATGAATGGATAAAAAAATTAAATTAAATTAAAAAATAAAGGCAGTGATGAGAGAGGTTCATTGTTCCTTATTCTCTTGCTCTCAAAGTGTGCAGAGCCCTGAATTTGTCCCTTCTAAGCTATGAGTCCTCTAGTCTTTTATTTAGGTTAGGAATGATATTGGGGGTGTGCAAAACAGCGAAAATGAGTTGCAAATGCACAGTGTAGCTCTGTAAATCCCAGCTGGGTGACCAAGTGTAAATTAGCCTTAGATTTGGTCGTCTCATTTTAAAATAATTTGAAAAAAAAAAAAAAAGTGGGACCTCTAGGTGGCTCAGCGGTTGAGCATCTGCCTTTGGCTCAGGTGTGATCCTTGGGCCCTCCTCGGGCTCCCCACAGGGAGCCTGCTTCTCCCTCTACCTGTGTCTCTGCCTCTCCCTCCATGTCTCCCATGAATAAATAATAAAATAAATTGCTTTTATTTTATTTATTTTATCTGAATGATAAAGATCTAGATCTAGATCATTTTGAGCAGAAACATGGCATAGGCAAGCAACATTTTCTGCCACGGTCACCATAGCTGCTGTTATCAAAGGAAGGACACGGAGGGGAGAGAGTCCCAGAGTTTGGGGGTCAAGGCAATGAAGTGGGTTCTTTGCTTCGCTCTAGTAAAATTCAGTAATTCTCATGTCCCCACTTTCTAATTAAGTAAAGTTTTTCAATGGATTAGTTTATGGAAGTGGTCACTTCCACTATGTCCAGGATAAAATTAGCAACAAATACTGTTGTTTTTTTTTTCCACACTGCCTGAACACTGTTGACATTGAGTTCCTAGGAGTCTTGTTCTAAGTGACAGTTTAACCCTAGTTTTAATAAGATCAGTAACCTCTTTTTCCTTTTAGGGACAATCTCAAAACCATAAGAATTTGAAGTAACATCCAATTTAATTATGAAGGAGAAGGAGCTGAAAGTAGAGCATAGAGCTGGGAAGATCAAGGAAATGGGCTTTCCTCCCATACAAGTCCTTCCCTAGGGGGTTCTTCTGCTGTAGCAGTTAAATGTCCTTAACATTTTCTTTAGCTTGATAGAATCCTAACCTCCTGCTTCCCCCAACACTGAGGCTGGAAATAACTACAAAATAAAAACAAATTACAGTTCAAGTTCTGTTTTTCAATAAATCTTTATTCTCTGGGAAAATAAAACGTTTTAGCAATGATGAAGTAGCGGAAGCCCTCCTTGAAAGCTTAGAAAAGGAATATAGTAAGCTCTTCTGGTTTCTGGACCAATTCCCAAAGGCCTGTTTTGTTAAGATTTTATTTTTTTGACTGCGCACAAGCAAGGGGAGGGCCAGGCAGAGGGAGAGGGAGAAGCAGGCTCTAAAGGCAGATGCTTAATCGACTGAGCCACACAAAGCCCACTACCAAAGCCCATCCAAAGGCCTGTTTTACTCACAAAATTGGTGAACTACTTACTCTCCTACCATGGGATATAGTAAATGTTTAACTGCTACTGCAGCAGCAGGAATTGGGGGCTTTCTTACCTTCCCCCTTCCTCTAACCTGCCAGGTAATAGAGGAAATAAAAAGCAAGCTATTGAAGATCTGTTTCTATAATGTGGTGGTATATTAAAATCACTGGGGGAGGGACACCTGGGTGGCTGCCTCAGCAGTTGAGCATTTGCCTTTGGCTCAGGGTGTGATCCCAGAGTCCCAGGATGGGGATTGAGTGCCACATTGGGCTCCCTGCGTGGAGCCTGCTTCTCCCTCTGCCTAGGTCTCTGGCTCGCTCTCTCTTTGTCTTTCATGAATAAGTAAATAAAACCTTCAAAAAAAAATCATTGGGGGAGGCTAAAAATATACCCACCTCCAGGAGGAGTCGGAATCTTTGGGAGTGGGCTAAGGTGTTGAAGAGAATTCAAGCTACTTAAGCGTTTCTTTTTTTTTAATATATTATTTATTTATTCATGACAGAGAGAGGCAGAGACACAGGCAGAGGGAGAAGCAGGCTCCATGCAGGGAGCCTGACATAGGACTCGATCCCGGGTCTCCAGGATCAGGCCCTGGACTGAAGGCGGCACTAAACCGCTGAGCCACCAGGGCTGCCCTATGTGTGGCTATCTTATAAAAGATGAAAATGCCAACATACATCACCAAACATTAACTGCATTTATAAATGAGGTACAGAAGGGTCCGGGAAGGTGGGATTTGAGATATTTTATGAGTTGATGGATTCAGGGGTCAAGAGCAAATGATCAGAATTCTGGGGGAGCAAAAATTATCAAAGGGAGAACTGGCTGTTGCTGTACCACTCTAATTTGCTTTGCTTCCAACCCCCCTGAGACATATGGTGCTATTTAGAGTGTGAACACGTGCACCCTTTCTGGCCAACTCCCAGGCCATCCACTACTCATGAAGAGGACATGAAACAGGAAATAGGGAGTAGCTTAATGGGAGTAGTTTAGCTCATTGAAGTACTTTAATGGTATTGTTTTAGTATTTTTAGAAAGTTCTGCAGATCGGTTGTACATCAACGTGAATACATTAACACTACTAACTTAAAAGAAGTTAGAATTTTTAAAGTTATCAAGTGGGTAACTTTTTTCAAATGGTATACTTTATTTTTTTTTTTAAGATTTTATATATTTGAGAGACAGAGACAACACCAGCAGGGAGGGGAGATGGCAGTGAGGGGCGGAAGGAGAGGGAGCAGCAGGCTCCCCCTAAGCAGGAAGCCCATGTGGGGCTCCATCCCAGGACCCTGGGATCATAACCTGATTGAAGGTAGACGGTGAACCAAGTGAGCCACCCAGGTGCCCCTCAAATGGTATATTAAAAAAAAAAAAAAAACCTGTTTATTGTATATCATTTATATCTTAAAGCTGTTAAAAAAAGGGGGGGGGATCCCTGGGTGGCTCAGCGGTTTAGCGCCTGCCTTTGGTCCAGGGCGTGATCCTGGAATCCTGGGGTCAAGTCTCACATCGGGCTCCCAGCCTGGATCCTGCTTCTCCCCTCGCCCGTGTCTCTGCCTCTCACGAATAAATAACATCTTTTAAAAAAAAAAAAGGTTAACGTGCCTGACAGTTGTGCAGGCTGGATTGGGTAGCGAATTCAGATCTAGCTGGCTAGATGGAGCTGGTGACCCTCTCTCGGAAGGACCGGAACCCCGAGGTGCACCGGTGAGGACAAGGGAGACGTCCCTGGGGGCGACTCTCAGGGGACCCGCCCATCTGGGGAAGCCCCTGCGGAGGAGCGCTCAGCTGCGCATGCGTCTGGCAGGGCCAGGGACGCACCTGACACCGCCGGTCGAGAGACAGTCATCTCTTTTTTTGTTTTTCAAAATTAACAAAATACGTGCGAATATTCGCCCGGAAGACTGTGAGACATTCACGGCTGGCCTCTCTTTCACTTGGCCTATTCTCTTTCGGACGAAGAGGACGGTGCGGTGGTCGAGCCAGGCACTGGCGAAGACAGCCCTACATGTCAGGCCCCCAGCACATGCCGCTATAAATAGGCGGGGCCACAAAGGCTCGCTCCTTTTGCGCGGTGGTCGGTTCGGCTGGTGTCATGCGGCGGTGCTGTGTCGGCTCGATGCGGCGCCCAGTCTCCTGCACCGGGGCCCTGCTGGGTGAGGGGACGGCAGCCTCGGGTTGAGCAGGATGAGCTGCCCTTACAGACTAGAGTTTCTGATGTGCCCGTGACGGCGCTTTTGGGAGCTGACCCATCCCAGGGCGGAAGGGGGGCATTAGGCTGCCGTCGCCCCCCCCCCCCCCGCTGACCTTTGGTGTCCTCCCAGACCCCTGGTCCTCGCAGGCCGATCCGCAGCGCTACCAGGGTGAGTGGGGTTGTGCGAGATGGGGTGGCCGGCCGAGTCCCTGGGGGAGGACGGGAGTGATGATGAACCCCGGTGACTCTGAGTGTCTCGCTGACGCCATCACCGCAGCGCGCTGACTAACCCCCGCCGCTGGGCTGGGGAAAGAGCGGACGGCCCGGAAACCTTTACTGGTGACGAATCCCTGTTTGATTCCCCATTAGGTGTTTGAAGATTTCCGCCGCCGTTACCCCTGATTCAAGGTATGTATTAGACGTGAGATCTTTCTCAGTGCTGCTCACCATCTCGTCCCCAAAGCTGCTTTTATTCAGTCAGTATGGAGTTTGCTTTCTCTTGAACACGCACAGCAATGCAAGTATTTTAACCGGTGATTTTTTTTTTCCAAGGACTATTTTTGGCTTACATTTCTTTTGTAATTGTTTTGAAAAGACCTTTTTGACTTTCCATGCTTTTGTCTAAGCCTAGTTAAACCTGCTTTATTTTTTGTGTACGTATATTTTTTTATTGGGGTTCGATTTGCCAACATATTCTGTATATTTCTATATGGTTAGCTTTTCTGGTGGAGGTATTTTTTGCAGTTCCGAGGTCCGTGTCGCGACGTCCCTCCTCCCCCTCTTTATTCTCCCCACTTCTCTCGTCTGTGCTCGTTTGCGACATCCTTGCTACTGATGGAATTGTTTTTAGTGCATTATACCCTTTCAGAATGGCCTCCCCTGATCCAGCCCTCCTTACAATGGGAATGATGATTTCTCAGACTAGAGTCTCTGACACTGGTCTTGATGTCAAAAATTACGTTCTGACTCATTTGGAGAACTGGATAGTGAGTCTGAGAAGGGCCCAACAGGGGGGCCTTGACATTGGGCCTTGACATTGCTTGTACTTCTCATTAGCTGTCTGTCCTGTTTTCATCTTTCTAGCTTGATTACTCTGGAAGCCTACCTGGGGCGGTGCCCTTTCAAAGGTTAGGTACTAATCAGATACTGAAGGGCTGAAGTTTGTAATAAACCCTCTTGGATCAGTGCTATTGAGATGTCTGTACCCTTGGAATGGCTCCTGCCACTCAAACCTGCAGTCTGTGAAGAGTCACGTCCTTTTTCCTTGGCTGCTATGGTGAGTGCCAGTTTTTCTGCCAGCCCCAGAGTGGTGGTAATGATAACCATCTTGGAACATGAGTATTTCTCTGAGGATCTTTGTAACCACTGATTGAGGACTCTCCTAACTGCCCAGGTTCATGTTTTAATTCCAGTTGGCTACGTGGTTCTAATACATGTTTTTTTATGAAATTTCAGGGTTTTGTTCATGCAGAGGATGCCTCCTATCTGGTTGGTGTTGGGCAGATCCTAGGAACTTCCATCTAATTTCCCTGCATTAATCTATGCAAGCAGCTGTCAACTTACTGGAGGAAAGAAACTGTCCAGAAATTTTGAGATGCTTAAATACTTTTAGACCAATTAGACTTATTTAATATGAATACTTGTTTTTATTAAAAGGATTCCAATAAAATACTTTAAAATAAGCTTGGTCTTGGTAAAAATAAGGTGGTACCAAAAGATTTGCGGAAGTAAAAGGTAACTTATTTGTGAATGAGCATCACAGTTGACATCTAGCTATATACCTCTTTGCAGCTTTATAGAAAAAAACTAAAATGAGGTTGACCCTAAAATTAAGGATTTTAGGTGGTGTACCACAGGATTTTAATGAACTAGATGTTAAGTGATGAAAATTTTTAGGGTGTTGAAATACTAACACTGGGGGTGGGGACGACACCTAGGTGGCTCAGTGGTTGACTGTCTGCCTTCACCTCCAGGTGTGGAGTCCCGGGATCAAGTCCCGTTTTAGGCTCCCTGCATGGATCCTGCTTCTCCTGTGTCTGCTTCTCTTGTCTCATGAATAAATAAAAAATCTTAAATTTCCCAGTTCCTGGGATGGGGGCATTTAGGTTTCTAGTCTACCAGTGGTGATTCCCTGACACTTGCACCTATCTGAAGTTGTTACAGGATTTTAAAAGATTTAAGCATGTGAAACAATGCATAGTGTATTCCATTTTATTTTTTAAGATTTTATTTATTAAAAAAGATTCATGAGAGACACAGAGGCAGGGACACAAGCAGAGGGAGAAGCAGGCTTCCTGTAAGGAGCCGGATGTGGGACTCCATCCCAGATCCCAGGATCATGCCCTGAGCCGAAGGCAGACGCTCAACCGCTGAGCCACCCAGGCGTCCCACATAGTGTATTCCATAAGGTTGTGCTGGCTTATGATCAGTGTTCTCATGGTATCACGTGTTTTCCCTGTATCTTCCTGATATCGAGTGGTGGTAACAATTTGGCCACCAGTTTGGGGCTATTAACTCTTTTATTTTTATTTTGAGTCCCATACTGGGGTCCAGTTAGGGAGCCTGCTCCTCCCTCTGCCTGCCTCTGCCTGTTTCTCATGAATAAATAAAAACATTTTTAAAATTCTGTATTTGGGGATCCCTGGGTGGCGCAGCGGTTTGGCGCCTGCCTTTGGCTCAGGGCGCAATCCTGGAGACCCGGGATCGAATCCCATATCGGGTTCCCGGTGCATGGAGCCTGCTTCTCCCTCTGCCTATGTCTCTGCCTCTCTCTCTCTCTTTCTCTGTGACTATCATAAATAAATTAAAAAAAAATTAAAAAAAAAATTCTGTATTTGTCTACTGAGCATTTCCAGCTTGGTCCCCTACCACTTTATTTTTTTTTATTATTTTAAACTTTGAGGGGCACCTGGGCGGCTCAGTCGGTTAAGTATCTGCCTTTGGCTCTCTCCCTGTCAAATAAGTAAATAGAATTTTTTAAAAATTTGAGGGCAGGGAAGCCAGGGTGGCTCAGCAGTTTAGCACCGCCTTCAGCCCAGGGTGTGATCCTGGAGACCTGGGATGGAGTCCCACATCGGACTCTGCATGGAGCCTGCTTCTCCTCTGCCTGTCTCTCTCTGTGTGTCTCTATGAATAAATAAAGTCTTTAAAAAAATTTTTGAGGGCAGCCCTGTTGGCTCGGGTTTAGCGCCCCCTTCAGCCCAGGGTGTGATCCTGGAGACCTGGGATCAAGTCCCACATGGGGCTCCGCGTATGGAGCCTCCTCCCTCCGCCTCTGTGTCTCTCATGAATAAATAAAATCTTTAAAAAAAAATTTTTTTTTATTTATGATAGTCACAGAGAGAGAGAGGCAGAGACACAGGCGGAGGGAGAAGCAGGCTCCATGCACCGGGAGCCCGACGTGGGATTCGATCCCGGGTCTCCAGGATCGCGCCCTGGGCCAAAGGCAGGCGCTAAACCGCTGCGCCACCCAGGGATCCCAAATAAAATCTTTTAAAGGGAATTTTTTTTTTTTAAGATTTTATTTATTTATTCATGATAGTCACAGAGAGAGAGAGGCAGACACAGGCAGAGGGAGAAGCAGGCTCCATGCAGGGACCCTGACGTGGGATTCAATCCTGGGTCTCCAGGATTGCGCCCTGGGCCAAAGGCAGGTGCCAAGCCGCTGAGCCACCCAGGGATCCCTTAAAGGGAATTTGAGAGAGAAAATGGGCAGGGGACTGCAGGAGAGGGAGAAGCAGGCTTCCCACTGAGCGGGGAAAGAGCACTCCATCCTGAGACCTTGAGATCATGACTGAGCTGAAGGCAGACACTTTTTAGTCACACAGAGAGAGAGAGGCAGAGACACAGGCAGAGGGAGAAGCAGGCTCCATGCACCAGGAGCTCGACATGGGATTCGATCCCGGGTCTCCAGGATCGCACCCTGGGCCAAAGGCAGGCGCCAAACCGCTGCGCCACCCAGGGATCCCTAGGCTCTGTTTCTTTAGGTAAGAATCAAACTAGTCTGTTACCAGTTAAGGTTATTTCTGTGGAGGGATTGGGATGGGGTGAGGGTGGGAGGAGATTGTACTTTTTCCTCCACGGATTTCAGAATTAATACTACTATATGATAGAAGGTCCCAAGCACGTAATTGTGTTTGGCTCTCAGCCATTTTCCTGTTTCTTCACAGCAAATATTTAGTGCTTGGATCTGTGCTAAGCTTTTCATGTGCTCCACTTCATTAAACCCTTAAAGCTCAACCTTGCAACTTTGATAATATCTACCCCACTTCACAGGCAAGGAAAGGAAGGCTCAGGATGTTAGATAATCAGATTAAGTTCCTTTCTGTCTGCTATACTGGTCACCCAGCCTTAGAACTTTACCAGGAACTGAAGCAAACCAGCCTTTGACTTAATTTCCCTTTTAAAAAATCCTTCCCACTCAGAGGAAACTACCCAGCTCAATTGTGGCTGTTACCATTCCCTGATTTTTCTTAACCGTTTTAATTCTAAATATGTCCCTAAACAGCGTATCTTTGTATCTTCTTGAATTTCACAAATATGCAGTAATTCTTCATGTAGTTCCACTGCAACTTGTTTTTTTTTGTTGTTGTTCGTGTGTTTTCCTGTAATTTAGATTCCACCCTTCCATACACCTTTCTGTCCATTTTTATTTTGGGGGAAAAAAGGCTTTAAAAACTTGTTTTATGTTGATAGGTGTCTCTGGGTACTATATATGAGTACTTCTATTTATGAGTGCATTTTTCAAGGTTACCAGTATCACATAGGAAGTATCAGACTGGTTAGGATTCCTGGAGCAAGAGAGATTCACTTTGGGTAGTTAACTTATCCACTCTATCACGGTTTCCCCATTTGTCAATGGGTAGGAGTATCTACCCTTACAAAGAGTTTTCATTAGATTTAAGTATATGCAAACAAATTTAAACAGTGCCTGGCACATATTAAGCCCTATTTAGGTATTTGCTACAATTACATCATTTCAAACAGCTCAATCATTAATGTGCGAAGCCTAGTCAGTACTTAACCTCATCCTTAGTTCCTGATGTCACTAGTAGATGGTCAAATTCCTGGTCCTGAGGCTTTCCTCTGCATTCTCCTGCTCTTATCTGTATGATCCAAGCCCTCCCCTAGGTGTTGGGACCCTCCTTCCTAAGCTAGCCCAGGGGTTGCGGTATAAGATTAGCCTACAGCCATAGTGAAGGTGGTCACATGAACTTGCATGGAAATCACATTCCAGCCTTCTGCATCCTTGAGCCCCACATTGTGCCCTCAGGAGTGATGGTGCTTGGTTAAAACCTCTATTCTAAAACCACCTCTCCATGCTCTGTGTGGAGCAACAAGTAAGCTCTGGGCAGCCCTGGTGGCTCAGTGGTTGAGCGTCTGCCTTCGGCTCAGGGCATGATCGTGGGATCTGGGATGGAGTCCCACGCTGGGCTCCCTGCATGGAGCCTGCTTCTCCCTCTGCCTGTGTCTCTGCCTCTCTCTCTCTCTCTCTCTAATAAGTAAATAAATATTTAAAAAAAAAAAAAAGCTCTATGCCTAATGTGGGTCTTTTTTTTAAGATTTTGTTTATTCATGAGAGACCCACAGAGAGAGGCAGTCTCCATCCTGGGACTCTGGAGGCATGGCCTGAGCCAAAGGCAGACGCTCAACTGCTGAGCCACCCAGGCGTCCCATAATGTGGGTCTTCAACCCATGACCCTGAGATGGAGTCACATGTTTTACTGAGAGCCACCACTAAGGACTTTTCTGTACATAAACTCTTATACATACATGTGAATTTGAATAGTCTCCTTTCCTTACATATCCAAATCATGCTGGTGTTACCTTAAAAATAACACCAAAATCTGACTCCTATCATACCTCCACTACCATCCCACTCTGGTAGGAGCTATCACCAGCTCACCTATATGACTGCAGCAAAACCCAGCGGGTCTCCTGGCTTCCACCCTTACCCCATTACAGGCATATCCACACAGCAGCCAGAAATTTCTCTCCAAATCATGACTTGAGACTTGTCTCTCCCTTGGCTCAGTATCCTGCAAGGGCTCGTATTTCACTTAGAGGGAAACCCAGAGTCTTTGCAGAGACCACCCAACAAGGTCCTCCCAAGTCTTGCTGTGTTGTCTCTGACCTTATCTACTCTCCACTCTGCCTCAGCCACAGACCATGAAGCCAGGAGCTTGTGGGCATTCTCCTGTCAGTGTTCAAGGGGTAAAGATTTTGCTTGATGGCTGGGGTCCCAACCACATGCCGTGGTCTGTAGGGTAGACAGAAATTTGTGTCAACAGAGCTTGTGGATGTAATTTGGCTGGTGAGGAAATCCTAGAGTGGAGAAATAAAAACTATCCTGGATGGTGTTTGTGGACTGTAACTTTATGCATTTGGAAAACAATTTGGCAATACCTCTGAAGTATGCACATTCTCTTCAACCCAGTGCTTCCACTTCTGGAATACATCCTAAATACACCCTGACCAAACTTGCATGCGTTATGTAATGTATGT